ATATCTTAAACATCTGATTTTACTGTACAAGCAGTTCCTCTTTCAAATAAACCTTCTACTTATATAGTATATTACCTATAAGTGCAAATGTCACAAGGTTACAATTCAATTAACCTTCAAAAAGGGAACACAACAAACAGGACAAGAAGCAGAAAGTGTTTGTGCCCCTGCCAGTCACTACCTCCAAAATACTACACACTATTTTGACTTATAACACTATATCTCAGTTGTGTTATACACACACACCCACACTCATACATGGAATCATATAGTATCCTCTTCTTTTTGTCTGACTTTTATCACTCAACATTGTATTAGATGCTCCAGCATCTGCTTCTGGCAAGGGAGTCAGGCTGCGTCCACTCATGGTGGAAGGTGAAGCAGATCTGGTGTGTGTATATCACAAGGTGAGTGAGCAGGCAAGAGAGAGCGGGGAGGTGTCAGGCCTTTTTCGACAAACTACTCTTGAGGAAACTAATAGAGCAAGAACTCACTACCAGGAGTATGACACCAAGCCATTCTGAAGGATCTACCCCATAACCCAAACACCTCCCACCAAGCCCCACCTCTAACATCAAGGATCAAATTTCAACATGAGACCTGGCGGGGGCCAAACCATACGTGAACCATAGCATTGGCATAACATTGTTCACAATATCCTTTCACCAACTGCTTTTGCTTTTCCACTACTGGTATGTATCATCTGTTTTCTCATTTCTTACTAGTCTTGCTAGAGATTTATCAATTTTGTTAATCTTTTCAAAGACCCAACTTTTGGTTTTGTTGACTTATTTCTACTGTATTTTTGTTTACTATTCCATTAATTTCTGGTCTTAATGTTTTCTTTCTACTTAATTTGTATTTGATTTGCGATTTTGGGTTTGTTGAAAAGTTTAGATCACAGATTTTCAGTCTTTTTTCTAATAATTTTTTTCAAGTCTCTATATTTATCTCCAGTCATACTTTGGCTTAATTCCGTAAGTTTTGTTAACTATGACCTTCATGAAGCTAAGAATATTTTTAAATGTTCTCTTTTCTGACCCATAGGTACATTTAGAAGTATTACTGTGTAATTTCTAAGCAGTTGGAAATTTCCTAATAATCTCTACGTTTTTACTGATTTCTAGTTAATTCCACTGTTTTTCGGAGAATAAACTCATTTTAATTTCTATCCTTTGTAATGTATTAGGACTTTATGACCCAATAGGTGCTCAACTTTGCTAAATGGTTTATACAGCATAAAAAGAATACATATTTCATTAATTTTGGGTACAGTGTTTTGTGTATGCCAATTAGGTCGTTTTGTCACTTCTTCTATGTTCTTGCTGACATTGTCTGTTTATGCCATCAGCTATTGAGAGAGGCATGTTAATGTCTTCCAGTATGGTTGTAGCTGATTCTTCTCTCCTTTAAGTTCGGTCAACTTTCACTTGATTATATTTTGAATATAAATTTAGAATTGCTACATATTCCTATTGCCTGTTGGACTAATCCCTGTAGTAGAATAATGGACGCACAAAGATGTCCATATCCTAATCCCTGGAACCTGTGAATACGTTAGGTTACATGAGAAATGGAAATTAAGACTGTGGACAGAATTAGGTTGCTAATCATCTTATCTTAAAATAGTGTGATTATCTTGAATTTCTAGGTGGGTCCAGTGTAGTCACAGTGATCCTTAAAGGTGGAAAAGGGTAGCAGAAAAGAGAACCCAAGAGATGGCAATACGAAAACAACTCAACCCAATGTTGCTGGCATTACAGGTGGAGGAAGAGGGCCATGAGCCAAGGAATGTGGGTGGCCTCTAGAAGCTGGAAAGAGCAAGGTAACAGCTTGTCCCATCCAGCCTCCAAAAAGGAATGCAGCCCTGTTGACATTAGCCTGGTGAGAGCCACTTTTGAATTCTGAACTGCAGAACTGTAAAATACATCTGTGTTGTTTTAAGCCATTAAGTTTGTGGTAATCGGTTACAGCAGCAGCAATATGAAACTATTGCAATCTTTTTCATTAAAAATTATTTTTGATCTCTAATAATTATTCTTGCCTTTAAATCTGTTTTGTCTAATACAGTTTTCCCTTAGTACCCAGGGGGACTGCGTCCATGACTCCCCAGGATACCAAAATCTGTGGATGCTCAGGTCCCTTAAATAAAATGGTATAGAATTTGCAAATAACTTACACATATCCTCCCCCTCCTTGAAATCATCTCTGTTTATAATAATACAACATAAACAGTTGTTATACCATATTTTTTATTTTTTGTTGTATTAATATTTTTGATGCTCAGTTGAATCACGGATGTGGAACCTGGGGACATGGAGGGCTGACAGTATTACCAAAGCTGCACCAGTTTTCTTTTTGTATTTGCATTGGTATATCTTTTTCCAACTTTTAAATTTAACAACACAGGAACATTCAAAGTGTATCTTTTGTCAGCAGCAGAATTAGAGGTTTTTTTCTTTAAACACTTTAAAAATGCTGTTTCATTGTGTGGCTTTATTGCTGCTCCTTTGAAGGTAAGTGTCCCCTCCTGGCCCTCCCTCTGTACTTTTAATATATTTTGTCTCCGGTTTTCATTAGTTTTACTATGGCATGTCAGGGTGTGGTTTTCTTTGCATTTATCCTCTGTGGCGTTTTCTGAGTTTTTTGAATCTGTGGCTTGATTTCTTTCATCGGTTTTGGAAAATTCTGCACCAGACTTCCCAGTACTTTATTTTTCTCCTCTGTTTTCTTTCTCCTCCTTGGATTCCAGTTATACACATGGTAGATCTCTTTGCTGTGTACCACACGTCTCTAACACTCTTTCCAGTTAAGTTCTATTATTTTTTTTCTAAGCTTCAGTTTGAGTATTTTATATTGACCTATTTTCCAGTAGCAGTTTTACTAATGTTCTACCTCTGGTTTATACTTATAAGCAACTCCTTCTACCCCTCAGCCTTGTTGAATGGAGCACAATACAGCAAGACTTCAGGAAAACTGAGCTGTTTTTTGAAGGTTTTTGACTTGACTTTTTGGCCTCCTACCCCAAGCAAGCAGCTAAAAAGTTCACCAAATATCTTGAAGGACAAACAGTATAGTGTTCAGCACTCTCGAGTCTCTATTTTTATCAACCCAGCCCTGTGAAAGTGCCCAAATCCTGCAGGTTGCTAGGTTTCCCAGCAGTGGAACCCTGCCCAGTCAAAGCCTAGATCTTGCTGTGCCCAGAATCAGCAAATGCGCCATCAAAAGATCTACTGCAGATGACCTCTTTGTAATCCTTCACTCAAATCCTAGCTCCTCCATTCCTCACTGCTTTAGGGGCTCATGCCTTTAAATGCTGTATGTGTCCATCTCTTGTAGTTCTTAGCAAAACTGTGCGTTGGCCTCAAGGTACTTCGACGCAGGAACAGAAATTTTCACGTACTTACCACCATCTCCACTACCCTCTGCCCTTTTTTGTTTTTGAAGAAATTCATTAATTTGTTCTGTTAAATTCCCCATGTTTTGGAATTGGATGATTACTTTTTAGGGTGTTTGACTTGTTTGGAATTGGCTGATTACTTCTTAGGGTATTTGACCTGTTCTACTAATTCTCACACTTTATGTAAACTAGCAGTTAAATCTAAAACTTGGACTATATTCATATATGTGATGCTTTTTTGGACAAGAAAACTTGGTGGTCGATGCTGTATGCTCACTATATCTTCATATCAGACTTGTTTATTAAGAATGAATAGATTTAGGTGCTTTCAGCCTGATTCACGCATCACAAATTTTCCTTTGATTTGACTTGTCCTCCCTTCCACACAAGGCAGAGCCTGAAGACAGGACTGCATTTAGAAATGTAGATATATCACTCCTCTTGCTCCCAGGGAACAAGAGAAGGGGAACTGGGAAGAGTGAGACCAGGAAGAAGGAAAAACCAATCCAAGGCTGAATTGTAGAGCTGGCTACCATGGGACACCACAGCTTGAACTTGTTGTGATCCTTTTTAAGAACCAGGTTGTGGACCACACTTGGGATAGTCTGCCCCCAAACAAGGAAGGGAGTGTTTATTCACCATGTCATGCCCCCACCTGCTGAAGGGTTGTCCAAGGGGCTAATTCCTCTTACCCAGGTTTGTGTGGGCATCCTGGTCTAAGTGCCAGGTTAAGCCCCAGAAAAATATAGTAGAGGCATTTAATGGATTTAAAGCAGGGTGTTGTCAGGCTACACCCGCATGTAGCTGGTTGTCTCAGAAGTAGCCAGAGCACAAAGACGAGCTAATGGCTGTGACAATGTAGAATCAAAATACTGTGTTTGAGTCACTTCAGATAATTCTTTTTTCTCTATGTTGTAGTTCACTGCCCTCTCCCTCCTCTTTAGGGAATGATTTTTATTCATTTTTGGTTTATCCTTCAATTGTTTCTTTTTGAAATATAAGCAAATGTGTATGTATACACAATCATAACCATTCTCCCTTTGTTATCCTCCAAGTAACAGTATAAAAATCCTTGTACTTTGTTTTCACTCTAGAGCATTTCATTTTAGTGTATAGAGATCTTCATTCCTTTTACAACTGCAAAGTCTACACTTTATACTGTTGTTTATTCAACCAATCCCCTATTGAGGAACATTTGAATTGATTCTAATCTGCTATTAAAACCAAGAACTATGGACACAATTTTTACTTAACACCTGGAAGTTAAAAACACTGGCATTATTACTGTCTTACTACTGATCCTCTGACTTCCTGAATTTCCATTTCCACAACTGTAAAACAAGTTTAAACATGACTTACCTGACAGGGTTAAATAAAATTGCAATTTAAAATGTATTTCTATGTATGTTAAGAAAAATTGAAATAGCCGATAAAATGTATTTAAAATGAGTGAAAACATCAAGTATGTAAGTATCACTATACAGATTCACTATATAGGTCATTTCTATTTAATTAAGAAATTTATATTTTGAGACAATGACAAACCAGAATGTGTCCACAGAAAGACCATGATAGTGAAATTTCTAGAAACTACCTTAGATGAAATAGTTGAAGAATTCACTTAAATATTTATTGAACAAATGCAGAATAAATGAACTAAGGGGTGTTTTAACCTGCAGACACAACAAACAACTTTAAATATTCAAAGGCTATCACACAAAGAATGAAAGAATTGTTTAGTATTTCTCCGAAGGGCAACACTTGAACCAAGGGATAAATATAAGCAACCAAGAGGCTGCTTGTAATTGTACAAAGAGTATCACTTGTCTTAATAACTTCTTTTCCCCTATAGTGTATTCTGCACTTAACTTCTCCCTTCTTTTGAAAGGAGCGACAACTTAATACTTCTCTTGAATATCTTAAATAAGTTGCATTTTCATGGCAAGTCTTCCACTGCCAGCAATGGATGTACTCACACTATTGAAAAAATCTAAAGTTAGCAAACTGGTTTACTATGGAAATGATCTATTTGCTCCTCAGCTATCTTTCCGTATTCTACATTAGTGATTCTCAGGAGGCGAGGAGAAAAGAGAGCATGTTCTTCAAAGAGGGTGACTCATAATCCCTAGCAATTCAGACCTTGCCCCTGGGGACAGTCCTCCTCAAACTCCAAATGAATCACTACGACTGTGAACCAATGGTACAGCTGGGAGTGCGGCACATGCTGGGGCAGGGGAAAGACAGTTGACAACCACTGGTCTACATGGAATAGATCTTATTTTATAAGCCACTAGGAAATACGAACTAACCACACAATACTGACAAGCTCCATCCATCCAGATTGTTAAATATTACAAAATGAGAGTTGTTTCAACAACCATTCAGCATGTTTAAGGACAAAATAGATATACTTTACATTATCTATGTATTTTATCACATAATCAGTAAGGAATGCTGAGGCGCTTCATCCATCCAATAAATTGAAAATAAAAATTTTACATTTCTACATTTGTCAGTATACAGGATTCTGAAGGTAGATCTTGAACTCAGGGTGATAGATCAGTTTTCAAGGAAAGCCACATAATCGGTCAGTCTGGCTAACTGCTGTTCATTGGGGATTGGGGGCACTGGGGCAGGCTCTATACGTTAAAGAGAGAAACATACTGCAAGTTAGACACCATAGTAACAAAGCTTTGGCCCTGCCACCCACCCCTGCCAATGCCTTTAATTTTAACAATAAAACTTTTAGATTTGTCCTGAATTTAGACAAAATCATACCTGTTAGGGGGCATGGACATTTCTGAAAAGCAAGCTAAGAAATCACAACTTTATGAGTATAGTTTTCCCTAACTGGGAGTAAAGGCACATCTTGTATCGTTGTTGTTACTGAAGTATTCTACGTGAAGGTTACAAACAATTTTAGTGTGCAACAACTCTTTTAAGAGGTAATGTTCTTCTTAGAAACATCCCTACCCGTGTGACATTTAATTCAAGAAACAACTTCTGAGTGCCTCCCTTGTGCTAAGCATTGCTATAGAAGAATATTAAATTGTTAATGAACAATAAAACACAAAGAACCCCAACCTCAAGGCATTTAGTCTAACATTTCAGGTACCACATGTCAGCCTGGGGATGCTTCTGAATAAAAATGCCGGTGAGAAGCTCTACCAGCTCCTCCGAATGACAGTGAGAAGGCTCTGCAACTGAGCCAGAGGTTGCCATCACCTCAAGGTGAGCTACAGGGGAGAGCCCACAGTTTCACTCTTATAACCATATCTATTACTATACATTTATAAAGTTTAATCTCTTAGTTTACAAGGTTAGAATTAAAAAAATATACACAGCACACACAAAAAAATTAGGAATGACACCTTTTTAAAATGTGCATGTGAAAATACATACCTGATAAGGGAATAAACTTGTTAAAGGAAACATCCAGGGCCCCTGCAACTAAAGTAAAAAAAAAAAACAATTACAGCCCAATTTGCAGATGTCATTGTAAAAACCTGTCATAGACTATGCTATTTTTAATGCACTATGTGTTTATGGTCATTTATTTCTCATGCAGGGAGAACAATTTTGCTCTATTTCAATAGTCTGCATTGTATTAGTGTTCCCTCACCATCTAGATTGGCCGAGCCCAAGTCTTACCCTCTTTGTGCCTTCATAGGGCTGAGCACATTGGGATTTGTGTAATACTTTGCTATGTGCTCAACAACGTCCAATCAATAGACACTCAGAGTAGGTCGAGGAAAATGTGGGTTGATGTAGATGCAGGAGGGTTTGTGGAAGTGGGCACTGAGCCCGGCTCTAAAGACCTGGCAGAAAAGGACACAGAAAAGGAAGAGAAAGCACCAGGCAGGAAGAGCACGGTCACTTCAGAGAGCAAGACTGAGGGGCTGGGAATTCAGAGTAAGATACTGACAGGTCACAGAATTTAAGGCCTTCAAAGGAAGGCTAGAGAAGTTAACCTTGTGAAAGTGAAAGCCACAGGAGAAGAGTCTGTGTGAACTGAGTACAAGGAGAAAGGGGAAGCAGCAGCCGAATATTTAATTTTTTTTAAAAGGCAATAGTTTACATGTTAAGCATAAACACAGTTACAAATGTCTCTATAAATAAAAGGATGGGAGATTAATATTTAGTAGGAATTAAGTTGTAATAAAGACCATGAAACACCTATATAAAATAGTCTTTTATATAAGAAATACATTTTTAGAAATTTAAAAGTAGGTGATCTTTAAGATCCTTTGTACCCTAAGTGTATACCACCCTATATCTATATTTAAAATGTGAGTTATTTCCATTCTGTTAGTATAGCAGAATTTTATATCAAATTATTCAAATTCAAGGTCTGAAAACCTGAAGCAGTCTTAGAAAGTTCAGTACTGCACAAATGCATAAAGAGCTCCACCTACCTGGCTTTCTGGGTAGAACCATTCTTGTGGTAGAGTCTGCTTGCCATCCTTGTTCTAATATACCTAAAAACGTGTATTTCACATACAGATTAAGAAATAACAAAAACATCCAACACGACCCATAATCTGTCCAGGACATTATTTGTATGGGAGACCTGATATGTTTAGTTTAACATGTCATGTATGTTATTACTTGAAAGGAATGCTATAAAGAACACGTAAGCTTATTTTTGAAATATTTCTGAAACATGTATCAAAGCCTCACTCTATTCTATTAGGCTGTTATAATCACAACAAATGGTTTTCTATAAAGTATATATTATAGTATTAACCTATTCAATATTATTAAAAACAGACATGAGGAAAACTTATATGGCACCTTTTGTAATCTCATCAGTAATAACAAAGATGATGGTGATGATAAAAACAGCTTTCATATACATAAAGTTTCCCTGTAGCTATCACACTATGTGCTTTCATAGGGATGATTTTATATAATCGACACAACTGTGAAGTGGGATATATAGCCATCATCTAACAGGTGTGGAAAATGAAGTTTAAGGAATTCAAGTGATTTGTCCTAGGTCACATAGCTACTAGCATGGGGCAGAGGGTGGTAGCTGGATTCGCACCCAGGCAGTCAGCTAAGAGTATGGGATCTGGAGTATGTTATACATTGGATAATAAATTATGGATCAATTTTAAGAGAACAACCAAAACAAATTAATGTTAGTACAAATAAGTAACAATAGGATTTAATTTAAGAACTTTCATCAACCTGTCCTGTATGTCTCTAGAACTGTGCTAGGCCCTGGAAATTTAAGATACGGTGCTTGATGGAGCTCATGTTTTAACTGGAAAAACAAAAATGTCAACCATGGTAAAACAGTGCAACAAGATGTATGCAATATGCTATAGCAAGTAGCAAGGAGAGGGATGAGTCTGGGTATCACCTGAGAAATAAAAATGCAAACACACATGTGGAGACCAGTTGCTAAGAGCAGGGAGCAAGCACCTAGGGTGCAGGTCAGAAGTGGCAGGAAAAAAATGGCCTGAGAGGGACATGGATGACTGCCTTCAACAAGGAAGGGTGAAATAAGGACTTCCAAACATGAACAGGGAGGTTGATTAAGATGTATTTTCTTAGCCAACTACACAGACATTCACATATTTGCTTGCTGCAGAACTATTAATGTGCTTGATTACAGGGTGCTCCTTGTCCAAAACCCTGCTAGGGGTGTTGCGTAATATGTTTCGTATCACCTTTCTAAAAAAACACAACCAAGAGTCCAAAAACATATCCGGTTTCCAAGGGTTTCAGAGAAGAGACTGTGACCCTGTAATTCATACTTCTATTTTCCATTTTTTTTTGTAAGTAAAAAGTAAGCCAAAATACCTTTCACAGCCTCTTCAACAGGAAGTCCAACAAAGGCTGCGAAATCATCAGCGATTATGGAGGTATACGCTTGGGAGACCAGGGCGAAGGCTCGTCTCCTTGTTGCATCTACCGTGGGAGCAGAGGGTTGGCACAGAGTGAGCAGAAAGAGCAGAGATTTAAAACAAAGTTCAACCACACAATTGTCCTTGCCCAATTTTTGGAAGCAAGACCAGATCAACCCCAGGATTTCTGTGCTCAGAGTTATAGATATATGTGCTCAGATGTTGCTGAATAAACAAATACATTTTTTACTCTTCCTCTTAGATGAAAAATCTCAGATGACAATGAAAATTACAAAGATGGAGAAAAGTTAATAAACGTAAGATTCAAACCCTGAGAAAATTTAATTTAAATGTTTATGTAACAGGGATGTAAATTTTATTTTTTATTCTTTTTTATTTCACTTACAAACACTGGAATGAACGGGGCAGTAAAGCTATTTACGTAATTAGCTGTCCTTCTCAGAAGGTTCTCTGATACAGGACCATACCTGGGAGTTGTAGAACAGACCTTGTAACTAGGGCACTCTTCCTAACTTTCAAGTCTGCACCAAACTATTGACTTCATTCAGGTTCAAAATCCCAAATTCCAGCCCTAAATGAATGAGTCTAACAAGGGACTACCAAACAATACCAGCAACAAAAACTCTTCCTTAGAAATGGCATCTCGGATTGTTCCCAGGCTTCCATACCCACAGTAAATAAATTTAGGAATGAGACAGGGTTGAACCCTGTGGTGGGCAGCTGGCCTATCCCCCTGCCCAGCCCAGCTCTTCCACCGGCTGTCAACATGCTTAGGAAATATTACTTTCCATATTTAATAGGCAACTGTACATATATAAAACCCTGTAACATACTGAAAATCCCCTTTCCATTCCTGGGACGTTGTCAAACAACTACATCAATTCCCTTAGACACCCTTGGCTCCAAACAAACCCACTGGCTCTCAGACAAGTCCTGTACCTTCTCAGCCTTGGCTTTTGGTTTATGCTATTCTATAGCCTGAAATGCCCTCCTGTCTGCTCCCTACCATTCCTAGGTCTGTTTATAACTCACTACAATCTCTGCCCTTCTCTAAGCTCATAGCATTACTGTTGATACTTCTACCATAACAAGCAATCTCTTACCACTTATACCAACGTATACCATGGTATACCTTGTTCCGCCCACCCCATCTTCTCAACTGTATTCCAAATGTCTGGACAGAAAGGGTTATCTCCTGTATCTTTTTAGTCTCCAGAGTGCCTAGCATCTCCAGCGACATACGTGTTGAACACGTGCTTGTTGATGGTTATCACTAGGACCAAAACGGGGCATGACCCTAGACTTAGGCTTTGTTTGCTAATGTCCCTTAACAGTTGCCGACCGTCACATTCCTTCACTTCATCCTCTCCGGCTTCCACTGAGCCATTATTTGTTCTTCCTAATGGGTCTTTACACTCAATTCCTTCCTTTAACCAACCTCTAGCAATTAACTTAAGAGATTTTTAAAACATCTTGGAAATAAAAATACTTTCTATTAAAGGCTACAGACATTAAATGGAAAAGAACTGAGGCAACAATGGGAAAGGAACGTACTTTTATTCTGGAGTTTCCGCAGAAAAATGAAAGTGTACATCACAAAACTGTGTTCATTTGGTGAGCCTGCCATATTTTAAAAGCATTTACTTTAGGTCAAATATTCTGGTCAGATTTTTAGAGTGGGGAATAGAACGGGAACAGAATATGAATAGAAGAGATAAACAGAAGGAACAGAAGAAAAGCAAAAAGAGATATAACTGGAAAAGGGAAGAAAAGCATACAGGGGGAAGCAGAAGTAAGTTGACAAAAAAAGTAAAAATAAAGGCTAAGTGTTCTAGTTTCAGTTAAAGCTGCAACACGCAGGCTGCTTTTAACCATCTGGTGTGAATGATTCCAACATCTACGCTCTGACCGGTCACGTGACCCTCAAGAGCTACGAAATTTGTGACCTCATGAAGGCATGCATTACAATGACATGCTGGAAGGTAGAATAAATTGAGCTAGCACCTAACATCTGTGGGCCCTTTCATAGGACACATTTTTGGTGAAAACAGAGACCCTAACAGAACGCAAATCCAGCTGTTCCACAAATACTCGACTGCCAGTGCTGGAGACGGAGGGAGGCGGAGCCAGTCATTGTCCCGTCCTTTCCAACCTGCCTCTGCCCTTCCCAGCCCTGCTGCACACCTGTGGCACCTGAGCTCCCCTGCTTTGGGGGATGGGGGCTCCACCAGGAGGTCAGAGGTGAGAGGGAAGGTCAGGAGATTTATTTCCTCTGCCCCTCCCACCTTCCTCCAGCTGCAGCCGCAGCTCCTTTCCCAGGGCTCCAGTCCTACTGGTGCCCCGCCTTGCCCCTCAGGCCTCAGGTGAGAGTGCCTACTGTCTACAGCTGGTCCCTGCGTGCTTCACCAGGCCTCGCTGGTCTCCTGTAAAACCAGGTCTTTCACTAGCCTCTCTTTGGTTAAGCCATTTTCAGTTTTCTAACAGGACTGTGCCTAATTCAGAATAGAATGGAAAGAGATTTAAGCAAGTAATTGTTCTTAACTAGAAAACAAGTTTATGTTACATTAATAAGCAAAATATTAAATTCAGCAGTAATTCGAGTTTGTTATGAGACTACCTTCACCAGGTAGGGTACTGTGTTTTATGGAAGAATCTGGGGATTTGTAAAAGCCTCAGGACACACTCGGAACACTGTAGATGAACAGAAGAGAGCTTCAGAACAAGGGAAGTGCCTACAGATGCTTACACAACCTGAGGAAAGCACCATTTCTAATCGTAGCTCACGAATGAGGGAAATGAGGGACTGAGGAGTCACTCTAGCGAGTGGCAGAACCAGGATGTGCACTCTGGAAGCCTGGCTCCAGAGTCCAAACTCCCGCGTTACATTATACAGCCTCTCCTGGCCCTAGGGAACTGCTTTCAAGGAATTCTCAATCTAACGGAGAATCCAGGGTGAGGAGGCGCTGACAAGGAACACGACCGCAGATTCAAGGTACGCCCCGGAACACGTGCTGAACGAGCAAGGCGCCCTGGCCTGGGCCTGCCGACGAACCCGCTGTGAAACGCTGGGAGAGGCACACGTGTCCTCACCGCCACAACCACAAGGCTGAACTAGACACCACGAAAGTTCACTACCGCACCACTTCCTCAGGGGACGTATGAGGTTAAGGCTATTTCCTGTGCTAATTTGTAAAACCGCCCCTGCTGTACCTGTGTAACCTTACTCCACACTCCTTCCTTCCCACCCACCTGCCCGTCCTGCAGTTCTGCTCATTTCAGTCACACCTACAGTAGCTGCCTCCTGTTTTGTCACTTACGTTGTTTTGTTTTATGCTGACACGGTTTTACCACTTCAAGGGAATTACATGCATTTCAAAAACAATCTTTACCGTCAGCTACTCTGTAAAGCTGATATCCCTTACCAGAGTGATGAGTGCCTATTAAAAAATGCCTGCTCACTGACTCCTCCAGAGCAGGAAGGTGTACACTGAAAAGTATTAGCTATAGAAATAAGGTAACAGTAAGAAATAAGAGCATAACAATATGAAAAGAGATCATTAAATGAATTTATAAAAGACTGAACCAGGAAGACAGGAAGCAAATGTTAGGAGTAGGAGAATGGAGAGAGGCCAGGGATGAGATTTTATTGCAGGATTAGTGTTATGTTGCACCAGGGTGTAATCTTTCAAAACAGTTAAAAACACATTTGATCCAGTGCGGTACCTCTAATGCTAAAGAAATGAAAACAACAACAACAAAACATGTTTGAGCATCTAAGCATTTAATATTAATTCATTATAAAATCCATAAACTGGAGATAACACCTATCAAAGGCTGAGGCTGACACAGTTCAAAGCATAGTCTCTATTTTCAAATACACGAATTTTTATGACTTTTGCCAACCTATATCTTGAACTTATTAGAGTATTACAAGATTTTATTTTAATAGCAAAAAACCCTTTTACTGACAAGAGCAATTTCAATCTAGAATTAAGAAACAATCAAGCTATTAGCTGCCAATATAACCTCGATCGATATAAAATGAAGAAGCACAATTAGAGCAAATCTAAAAAAAGAATTCTGAAAAGTGTACCATTCACCTATCAAAAAACATCTACCTTTTAAACACACCATTGACTTACTTCACCATTGCAGCACTTAGGGAACGCGTCTAGTCTAATTTAATTTTTAACCACAAAGAAACACTACCTCTAAGTGCTTCCATGATCGGCTGGACTGTCTCAGACCACTGGTGAGCACTGATGGTCGTATAGATCCCAGGGAAATCTCTCTGCCAGATTCTTTGTCCTACTGACCAAATTCCTCCAAGTTCAGAATTTGCCTGCAATAAATATTGTTGCCTTTGAAGGTGCTCACTCTGCAAAGTTACCAATGACTTTATCTTAAAATACCAGAAATGACATAAAGCTTGCTAGCTGTATCATCAAAACATAATTCAACATTTCTTTTAAGAGATACAATTACTTTTTCAGCCCAATCACTATAAAAAAGGTTTCCAAACACCGTGAGCAGTCATGTAAAATTGAGTTATAGGTCTGACATAACTTTTTATTAAAATAGCAAATTAAAGCCTGAGAAAGTAGTCCAAAAATATTTCAGAATTAAGCCCAGGGACGAATTATCTTAAGCATCATTGTTTTTAAAGATGTATATATTTAGGACAAAGTAATAGCAAAATGGTTAACAATAGAGACTGTCAACCTAAGATGTCATACACTATAGCTTCTCTAAGGATACAGTTTCCACTAATATCACTATAAAAAAGGTTTCTAAACACCGTGAGCAGTCATGTAAAATTGAGTTATAGGTCTGACATAACTTTTTATTAAAATAACAAATTAAAGC